TAAATCCTTTATATAAAATCGCTCACCGAGAAAGGTCTTGAGAGTATTATTGGCATTAATGTCATTGCTAGTGATTACGATATCATCTACATAGGCCAAGACTTATGTGCATGAACTGCCAATAATGTTAGTGAAAAAAGAATAATTTGGCTTTGATTGAACTTATCATGTTGCTAGTAATGCATATGAAAATTTGGCAAACCATTGTCTAGAAGCTTGCTTAACTCCACAAAAAGACTTTTTCAAACAGCAAAATCAATGCTCTCCCATACGTGAAAAATCATTTTGTATCTTCATAAATACCTCTTCGTGTAAATCACTATACACAAAAACATTTTGGACATCCAATTGGTGCAAAGACTAATTTTTAATAGCAGCAGTTGCAAGAATACAACAATCAGTTGTAAGCTTTGCTACTGGAGAAAATGTTTCGTGATAATCGAGCCTCTCCTACTGGTTATATTTGACGACCAAGCAAGCCTTGTAATACTCAATGGACCCATTTGCTTTGTATTTTATCTTGCATTTGCAATCAATGGTATTTTAACGGGGCTTGTTCTCTCTAATTATGCTAAGTAGATGCTTGTTTGGAACAAATAGATTCAGCTGTGGTAGAAATGGTAGTAGCAAAAGTTTTGCAAGAGGCTGAAAGTTGGCCAGAGGAAATGACAACACTTAATGGATAGCGAACATCTTGAACTGGTTGAGGAGAAGTTGTAGCAAGTTGCGAATGTACAACGATGGAACAATAGAAATCATGCAAATATTTTAGAGTTGGCGCAATCAGTTGGAACGTTGAGGGATATTTGGAGGTATCGGTGATGATGGCTATGAAGTTGGTGATGGAATAGTGATAGAGGTTGGAGATGAAGTTGACTGCTTAATAATGTGGGATGAATCAGTCAGGTATGGTAATGTTAAGTTGGTAGGAATGTCAGGTAATGGATGTGATGGGGTTGGGGATGATGAAGACTCGAAGAATGGAAAGCAATGCTCATGAAAAACGACATTTCTGTTAGTAAAAACTTTGTGACTATCAAGGTCATATAAGTGATATGCTTTTTGACCGTGAGGGTAACCAATGAATATACATCGGCATAACCTCGTATCAAATTTGTATCGATGATGTAGCCTACTAAAAGCAGCCAATTACCCTTAAGTGCTTATATGTTGGAGGAAAATTGAAAAGAGCCTCATATGGGCTTTTGCCATTTAAAATATGGGTAGGTAGCGATTGATAAGATACGCTACTGTAAGAATGCAATCTCCCTAAAAAATAAGGTAAGTTAGCCTAAAAACTTAATGCCCGTGCAACCTCAAGGAGGTGACGGTGTTTACGTTCAGTAATATCATTTTGTTGGAATGTTGCGATACAATAGTGTTGATGAAACACACCATTTATTTGAAAAAATTTATGCATATCTTTGGAGAAAAACTTAGTACCATTATTCGTTCGAATGGACTAAATTGAGCAAAGGAATTGAGTTTTGACCAAGGCAAAAAATGATTTTAAATATTAATTCATTTCATATTCGTGTCACATTAGAAAAATCAAAGCGTTACAACTAAAATCATCAACTAAAGTTAAAAAACTAATGTGCACCTATACGAGATGGGGTTGCATAACCACTCCATATGTCACAATGAATAAGTTGAAAGGGAGTAGAAGTAGAAGTCAAACTATTAAGAAAAGAAAGCCACAATTGTTTTGCTTTAGGGCCTACATGACAATAACAATTATGTTTTTAAATAAGAGAATGTAAGCAAGCATGAGAAGGATGACCTAGGTGCCAATGCCACAGGTCCATGGGGGTCGAACTGTGAACTGGGGATGCAAAGACAACTTTAGACGAATGACAGAGATAAAGGCCATTGTGCTCTCTACCCACTCCAATCGTCCTCCTCAATAACCGATCTTAAAAAATTAATGATCGAGCAATTACCATTTAAAAGTTTCAAAGGATTAGTGAGTGATGAAAGCTCTATGGATGAAAGAAAAAATGGAGGACAGACAATGTGGTCAATATGGAGAACAAACAATGTGGTAAGTAGCAGCATTGTCTATGATCTATAAATCATTGAATGAAGAAAAGGTCGACCAACAAAGATTACCTACAAGATTGGTCGAGTGGCTTGAACTACATGCCTGTAGCATTTGTAAAAGTTGGCAGTGTTGGTTTGGTGTAAATTGAGGGGTTGTTGTAGATGTAAGTTGGCTAGTTGAGAGAACTGTACTGGATTCAGCATTGTAGGCATGGGGCTTGTTTTATTGTTTTGGATAGCCCTTGAGATTAAAACATCGGTCTTTCATGTGACCATCTTTGTGACAATAATCACAATGCAGCAAGGGGCGTGTCCAGTCTTACGATTTGGAATGGTTTTCTAAGATGCATGAGATTGAACCATAACAAAGGTTGTAGCTTCGAGTGCAGTGATATATAAATTGATCTCATGATGTTTTTCTTCTTGAAAGACAAGGGAGTAGGTTTTGGCAACAATTTTTAGTGGCTCCATGAGTAAAATGTTACTACGCACCACGTTGTAGGATTCATTGAGACCCATTAAAAATTAAAGGAGTTTCTCTTGCTAAATATAATTGTTGAGATTTTTAAATACCCCATAAGAACATGGGGTAAAAGAGATAAAAGAAGCTAATTCATCTCATTTTTTCTTTAGTTGTGTGAAGTAAGAGCCAACTGAGTATTACTCTGATTGGAAGGAGGCTAAAAAACTTTTGATTTGATAAAGCTATACAACAATATAAAATTTGAAATTCAATATTTGAATTTGAATTCAAAAATCTTCAATAGCAAGCATCATGGCATGAATCAAGTATCTCTATATTGTGTTCTACACTTTTTTTTTCATTATCTTTTTTTTGCATCAATATCTTCACATGTATTTGTTTGTTATACATGTTTTATTTTTTACCCTTTTTTATTTATTTGATTTTTCTTTTGAATTATTTCTAGCCTCTCAAAGAAAAATTACCTCCCTCATGTTAATACACATTTTTCTCCCATAGACTTACTATTTTTAGACTGTCTAAATTGTCGTCATTTATTTTGTTTGTACTCATTTTCCTAAGTTATGACTATTAACTTTCCTGGGATGAGCAATGTTAAGGCGGGGAAAGGGCTAGGGTCATGGTGGTAGCACCCCCACACTTTAGTCACCATAATGTGGTTTTCATTCCCACTGACACCACCCTATTAATACCTTAAAAAAACTAATTCCTAGACTATTTAAAAAAACAGATAGGCATGTCTTCCCCACTGAATTACCCAAAAGAAGATTTCTCAAATATTGAGTCTCTATGATTCAAAGTGAATACTATTTTCAGCTATTGATGTTTTCCTAATGAAAATTTTGGAGGATCATAGGCATCATTGATTGAATATTAAAAGAAACGAGAAAGAGAACAGCTAGTCTTTTTTCTATTTATATAGCTTCTCTTAGGTGTACACCTAACAGAGGCTAATGGAACATTTTCTTTCTTATGCATGGAATTTTGACGTTGCTTGTAGTGCACTAATCAACTCACACACAAATTGGGTCTTTGTCGAATCCCTATTGATATTTTATTCTATTTTTCTATGAGTGGCATGATTATCTTCAATTATAAATATTGTTAGTCTTTCATCACTATGCAATATATGACCATATCTTGCATGTATAATCATGTGCTTACTCTTCTTACAGGATGCCTTTTGCCTCAGGCTTATCAATCTAGGACCTCATCTATCTTACTATAAATATGCCCATGGTGGTCACGAATTTTTGTATAATTGGAAAAGGGATTGGGGTCGTGGTGGTAGCACCCTCACACCCTAGTCACCAAGTGGTTTTCATTTCCCAAATGACACTACTGCATTAACATCTTAAAAAACTAACCCCTTAAACTATTTGAAAAAATGGGTAGGGGCATATTTTCCCCACTAAATTACATAAAAAAAAAACCTCAAAAAAACTATCCCCCTAAACTATTTGAAAAATGGATAAGGGCCTATCTTCCCCATTAAATAATTACCTAGAAAAAAAAATTGTATAGGATGATATTATAGCAAAAAATTTGTATAGGATGATGTTATAGCCTTTTTTTGTGTCCTAAATTATTGCATCATATACTCTCCTAATTTCCTTTTTAGTGTTGCACTTATTGTTACTACTAATGTGAACATGAAAATCACAGCATGGATTGTACTCTTGGTTGATCTTCACTTTTCTTTCTTTGATTTTCTCCATCCCCATTATACAAGTAGGAAATACACTAGCAATTACATTTTCAACATCACAAACACTGCTGAACTTCAATCTAATTTTCTTATCGATCCACGTTGCACAGCAAAGATGATCAGCTCTGAAACCAATTGCTTAACTCGTGGAAAATGCTGAACTCTCGTTTAATAGATGCACTGCGAGTACCGATATCCTCTCTATCTAATATGTTCTGTACAGCTATTAATACCCTTTGCCTGCCTTTCTTTTTTTCTCTGTACTTCACTTTACGCATGCAGGTCTTTCTTATGCCCTCTAAAATATTTTGCTTACTCAAGTTTTGTTACTGCATATTGCATACTCTTTTTCACATGATACCATCGTCTTAACATCACCAAGACACCAACTGCATTTTTCTAAATATAATTTACCAATTTTAGATTGAATACTGTTTTGAACCCTGTTTTCTCACAATTACTGAACCTAAGTCATCGCATTAGGTGCACAACTACAATGAGAAATAGTGTGCCCTACCAGAAGGTCATACTTTCCTCATCCTCACTCAAAATTCTGACTTCTCTTTAGATGGTTTCAAATAATCCGCTAGTACTTGAAAACACTGCCATACACTGCAGTAATAAACTTGGTACCCACTTTTCGAAAAAGAAAATAAATAAATAAATAAACTTGGCACCTTCCATGTAATAAAGAAGCAACATGGCTTCCATATTACAGAAAACCTCCATACAGAGAAAATAGAGTTCATAGAACTTCAGTAGGCATCACAGGAAGAGATTGCGTTATAAACAAGAAACTCAAAATGCATCATTCAACTACATGCAAAGAGCAGGCTGTGATCCAACCAAATGGTTATTCAGTCTCTCCACTTGAACAGAATTGGGTTCCAACCAAAACAAACATGCACAAGTTTAGGCCCAGTGGCTGCCCAGCAAAAAACCATACTTTCATCATGCCAAACATGAAAGCCTCTTGGCATTGCAAATATTAAATGCCATGGCAACCAACCCCAACTCCTGCCCCTTGTTCCATTAACACCACCACCAACCTTGTCTTGCATACACTAAAGATTGTAATATAAAAGTTAGCCTAAAACCCACCCCTGCGATCTTTTATCGCAGGTCCAGCCATACCTCGGAGTAAAAATAATAATAAACATTGAACCAAATGAAAACAAAACAAAACAGAGAGGCAGTGGCTCTTGCGTGTGGAGGGGGGACAGAGCGGAGGCACCCAAGTCATAGGTATCATCCAGCAGCCCCCGCATATGGATAGAGAGAGAGAGAGACTATATCTTATCATGTAGGGAAGCAACCAAGTCATGCGCATCATCGAGCAGCTTCCACACATCAAGCTGCCCTGCCATGCTGTTGCACTCCCTCAGTATCTCATCCATGCTATTGTATCGCTCTATAATCAACTTCCTCCTCTGCAAAACGCCAGCTGCAATCGCATAAAGCAACAAATCATTTGTGGGTGGCGGGCCCCGTCTCCTTGCCCGCCCCCTCCTCCCGCCACCAACCCCTGCCCTAATCGCTGCCTGATCAGCCCAAACCACCTCCCATAAACACACAGTTTGCTCAAAATTCAACTCCCTCCTGAAAAGCACAACCACCATTCTATAGACAAAGAAGCAATCCTCGGCCTTCACCTTCTCCAAATGCCTATAAAGTTGTGAATCCTTGGTCTTTATGATCCTCGACACTATGTTGAGTTGCCTTCGGATACCCACTTCGTCAAGCCTAAAGTTATGGCGAGCACTTTTCATGAAGCCTACAAAGCACCAAAAGGCCTCATGATCCTCTTCAATTATGGCCACAATTGGAGAGAGAAGATCACTCATGCCTTGGCAATAGCCAGTCTCTGGGTCATAGAGGGCGTAGGCTTCAAGTATAGCCACCAAACGAGTAGCATGGTATATTCGGCATGGCTCAAGGTGGTTGTAGTCACGGAGCCCAACAGCTTCGGCTGCACGCCGAGCCTTTGCCTCAGAGACCAAAGCTTGCGATGGAGAATATGGGACCCACTCAGCATTGGCCCGTAATGCATCCAGGCGAATGATACGCTGCCATGTGGCAAAATCTTCATCGGCCACCTCTGTCCCATCATTCTTCCCCTTGATTGATTCCACCTTGGAAAGCCTATTTTCTCCCTCTATACTTGAGAACGGGCTTGTTTCTTCATCTTCTTCTGTTTCAACTTCTTGCTCCTTTCCTTTTTCTTCTTCTGAGTCATCCAAAGACCCATTTTCTCCTAGCATGGGGCTATCAGCTTCGCCTAAAGAGGGGGACTTGTCAAGTGTTTGGTTTTCAGTGGTGAGGTTGGAGTCGATGTCCCCACCACTGTCGAGGCTGGCTTCCTCTGTTGACAGAGATTGCCTTGCACTAACCACGTCTTCAGAGCATGGGGAGTTGTCAAGGTCTTGATGTGAGCTGCATCCTTCTTCTTTGATGCTTCCCCTTGATGATTTCTTGGAGTATTCGCTGTTGTTTCTCAGAAGGCGACGGCACTGTTTCCTCAGATCATTGTACTCCTTTCTGCATGGACATTAAAGTGTTATGGTCACTCATGCAGTACGACTAAGATGTTAAAGATATATATTGGTTGCAAAAGTGGAAGTTTTCATTAATTTATTTTCTTATATGATATATAACTCGGACATGCTTGTAAGGGAAAATATAGCTACAAAAGGCAGCTGTGTGCTGCTCAATAAATAACAATACTCAGAAGAGGGAACCTTGTCATGGTGCTTCAAAGAAAGTACCTTTTCCGATTTTTGATGGTGAATCTTTCTTCTCTTGTGCTATTAAGGTCATAGCTGCACAAAGGGAAATATGTACATTAAGTTACAGTAGGGCTGATCAGACGATGTATTATCCTCACATCACAAAATCGTCTTTTGTCATCAAATCCATGCATCACAAAATTTTAAACAAGATCCCCATAATGTACTTGACACAATCATAACTAGGAGGTCTGCAAATGGTAACTTCTGCCTAATGCCAAATCTAGACCCAAAGCAAATTGCAAGCCATAAAAATTTAGATAACCACCCATAATCAACAAAACCTTCTTTTGGCTACATTGAAGACAAAAAGACCTCATATCAGAAATAGTCCAGACAATCACCCATAATCAACGCTATCATCTACACGATTATGCATGTAGCATAATCAACAAAAACTACAAATGCATCAAGGAATAACATGACAACATTATAATGAAAACCTAAAAAATGTAGTGGATGCCATGAATACCAGAAAATCTTCCTTTTTCCCTTTTTCCTTTTTTTACCCTGATGAAAACGAAGGTCACTCATGTAAAAAATTAAATTTCCTAAACATCCATCCAGTGAACGAGGAATGCATGGGAGTATTTACAGCTCTTAAAGTGAGAGAAAACTTACACGCCAAGGAGGAAAGGCCAAACCTCTGCCCTTATGCTGGGATCAACACCCTGCTTGGAAAAAAATAGAACAGCAAAGCTTCATAACATATCAACGAGGTATAGATACAATATATCTCAAATAATAAATAATAGTTGATCTAACATTGACATTCAAATTACAACAAATTGAGTTTTACAGCTCTGGGGAAAAATATGATGAGAATCTGAGACGATGACAAGTAAATAAGAATCCTAGAACATCTTTTTTTTTCCTTTCTTTTTGAATGCTAAAACTAGAACATCTAACTTGACTATTTATATTCCTTACCTAAACTCAACTTTCATATTGGCTGTTTTAATATGATGCCCACCAGAAATAATTTTAACAATATGCCTAGTTTCTTTTTTATTTTTATTTTCCTTTTTTATTTGGCTATGTAGATGGTACATATAGGGCTTGTTTAAGATTTAAATTTCATGAAAGAAAACATTGTCCGGAATACAAAACTCACCCCACTACGGACTTTCTTAAGAAACTTTATCCCCCCATCAAGAAGTTTTCCATCAGATGAGAAAAAGTTCTTCCACTGTTGTGGTGCTAGAGCGTGCTTTCTTCTTCTACGCGACCATGGTGACTTTAGACTACCCCTAAAAATACACAGAAAACTCATAAGCTAAGTAAACAGAGTCAAGAATCTATATAAATAACTGCACATAAATGACATTCAGCAACCCAAACATGATAAATACGCAAACAGATTACCGAACAACCCTAGGGTGTTCACAACATGCATTGTAAAACAATATAATTTAAATCATAACTCCACACCTGCAAAACAGAGTACTCAAGAATAATAATTTATTTTTCACAACTTCTATGCAAACGATGGCCACATACGTAATTGCTGTCAAGCCATACAAGCTATGAAGCACCATAAATGAGCTCCAAAAAGGTCATTGGTGGCACTTCTTACATACTAAAGTTTTATACAAGCATACATCATTTCCACATATGAGATGTCAACTTCGTTGATGATATACAGGGAAGGTTTTCACTGCATGTTGATGCAGTCTTGAATGAAAACACAAAAAAATCTTGCTAACTCTTATAGAATACTGCAAATCCCTCTCGTTTTCTCTCCAATTGTTAGCATCCGTAGATCGGACACTTCAAAAGCTATACAGTTATCTCTTGTTACCACTAGAAAGAAAGGCTCACAATTTACACCTAGTTTAGTGGAAAATATTTAACGACTGAAGGCGTCACTTCCTATTAAGCGGCATATGAGGTGCAATGCAGCTCAAGGATAGTTGGTAGGAGGTGATAGCTAAGAAGTACAATGATAACACTGTTAAGCAGGGTTAGTTAAGGCATTTTAAAAGGATTAGAGCCCAATTACCATGATTCCCTTGAAGTTCCTGTAACTTCCCATTCTAAGGTGCACAATGCGTGTAAACTGGGAACAGAACTGGAGTATCATATGAGGCTCTCAATGCAAAAATAGTTTATGGCGGAGTCTAGGGCTACCAGCCAGGCCTAGGTGGAGCTAGCCCCGCTAGTAACAAAAGGGCCCTAGGCAAGGTGCCTCCAGGACTAGCCCAGACATAACTATTTTCTTGGGGCCCATCCTGTCCTCTATAAGTATAAATATATGGGGGTGGCAAACAGGTCAGGTCAACCAGGTTCCAGTTCCTAGTATGGACCATAGTTAGCAACCATCCGCCAAAACAAGATTTTTTCAAAAAAACAATGCTTTTTAAAGATGTTTAAATCTGCGATATTTTTAAAAGATTGGAAAAAATACGCGATATTTTCACAAAAATGTTTACATAAAGTATTTTTGCCGATCCGTATTTTCGCCCTGAATTTTTGCATCCAACTTTTTGAACCAAAACCAATTTAATTCTGATTTTATGGTGAGCCGTTATATTGATATTCCTCAGATTGCTAACTATGATCTGGACCCAATGAATCCGGTCTGGTCGGCCGACCCAAACATGACCCGACCTGACCCGCGATATATAAAAAGCATATTACATATAGAATATTTATTGATAAATTATAAATTCATTTTATATATATCTAGAATTATTTTATACAGAAGACCCGACCCAAGTCGGGTTTGGGTTTGGGTCTGGGTCCGGGTCCAATTGACTTGGAACCTAGATGGACCAAGGTTGTGTCAAGGTCTTACCCATGTTTAGGGGCCTATAAATATATTTAAGGTATTTAAGCACTACATGGCCGGCTTTGATGGTTAATGCATCTAGTTTTCGTTGGTTTGATTGAGAATGAAAACCCTAGGGCTTTCAAGCTTTTAATAACCTTTTGATATAGTGAAAAATAGTAAAAAATGATTTGACAATCCACCCAAAACATGGGTGGATTATGGTATATGCAATTGCTACTATGGAGTACTTTTAAAGCAATTTTTTGACTTGGGAAAAAATGGAAAAACAAAATAGCCAATCATGATTCTAGTAATACACCCAATATATTGGTGGATTATCAAAAACTGTTTGGCTGAATAAACTATTGCAAATAATGGGCTCGGCCGGGTTAGACCCAGGCCGGGTAGTTAACAGATAATGCATGGCATCGGGCCTCATACACAAGCTCAGCCCGTTAACATTTCAGGCCTAAGATCAAGGCCCGAGCCAATGGGCCCAACAAAAAGAACAAGACCTCAACTCCATCAGGCCAGGCCGGCTTGGCCCCTTAGACCGGGCCCACTTGCAGCCCAAGTAAAGTGTGCGTTTTGCAAGCCAAAGAGCATTACCAAGAGGTGGGCCATGTTTGTTTGGTGCCCAAACTTCTAAAGAAACCTATATAAGATGTTAATGAGATATTTTAAACATATTCATAGGATGAGTGTAGCTGAGATGAAGATGTTGAGATGAATAAGTGACACGACAAGAAATGATAGAATATGGAGTGACTACATATGGGGGACCTTAAGGGTGGCTCAAATAGGTGATAAAGGGGTGTGTTTGTTGGGGAGGGAGGGGGGGGGGGGCGGGTAAATTGGTTCAAGTGGGCAAGGGGAATGCCCAAAAGGACATGGACGGAAGTATTGAGAAGAGTATGGTGACTAATGGTTAAACTGAGTGTATGACCCTTGATAGAGCAGAATGGCGAAATAGGATTCGTGAGCCGACTCCAAATAGTTAGGATAAGGCTCAAATGAAGATGATTACAAGTCCTTGAGGAGGTTGATATCTCCGTAAAAGGAAAGAATGAAAGGAAGTAGAGATTTGGGGACACAACGAGAAAGAGGTTATGGGTTGTTTATGTCAAGATATTTCTATCGGGCACTCATTGTGGGTGAGTCAGCCTCAAGGTGTCAATCAGTCACATAACTGACCCACTTTGTGATTTTACATATGGGAGGTATGCATTGAGATCCTCGTATGGACATATAGTTCAGAAACAAATAATGCACCAATTGAGCAATAGGGAGAGCGAGAGAGAGAGAGAGAGAGAGAGTGTATGTCTATATATAAGATTTAGAAAAGCGTCATAAGGAATGCAATGGAGGTCGCAACAATGAGTGTTCGGTATGCAGATTACGTTTTCTCAAACTTATGTCTGATAAGATTTCGTGCCTTTGGGATATAATCAAGTCAACAAGAATGTGCTAGAATCCATATCCTTTCAAAAATAAACTTTCAAAATTTGCTAGGGAGCACGTTTTTCATGACTAACTTACCAAACTCAATCAGAACTCTAAATTAACCAGACTTCAGAAAACTGTCGTGCCAGGATGATCTCCAAGGAAGTCCTTGTGACACACATGCACAAAAAGGGTGACTGGGGCCTAGGGGTTCAGACCACTTTCTATGCCACCCCAGGTTTCACATTGCAATCCAATGCTTAATACTCAACAACAAAAAATTCTAACAAATACCGAGAGAATATCCATGTCCTCAGACAATTATAGTAAATTCCGATAGAATATTCTTGGCAATATAATTTTCGCGAAAGTATTGACTCGCTAACAAATGTAGAAAGAATTTTGAGTTCTATGATTCTATCCAAAGCAATAATTCTTTTCAGAATTGCAGTTATACTGCAACAAAAAAATATGGCAAAAAAAAAAAACAACAAAAAGGGTAACAAATACAAACTATCAATAAAGCTTTAAGACATTGTGCATAAAATACCACTATACCAAAACGAAAGGAAGAAGGGGGACTAGTGTTGTGTCTTCCAATAATTGGAAATTGGAACAAATCAAGAAAGAAATAACTGGGGGAGCAGGAGAGTAATAATACAGGAATTGTTTCTGGAATTTCTCCAACATCTCACACTTAAGAAGAACACTAATGGACTCAAGGACATGTATGATATGTTGGCAAAAACCAGTTCTAAGACTAGCAGTTTACCACCCTTTGTGTCCATGACCAGGTAGAATCCTTCAATGAAAAGTTACACTCGAAAAACAGAAAAGTTGTTGAGATGTAAGAGGACTATAGTGGGCTCTCCCAATTAAAGACAACTAAATGGGGGCAAAGAAGAGAAATCTGATACCAAAGTCCACCGCATGGCTGATTTTTGAAAGTCTTAATTATAGAAAAGGGGTATTTAAATTCAAATGCCTCAACATTCAAGCCTAAAGGAGCATCCATCTAGATCCGCAGTTTATATATAGCAAAGGAAAAGGTCAGCTATGCATATGACACACAGCATCTAAATGAGTAGGCCAGATCATTAGAGTGCATGTGGGTTTCTAGAATGCAGTGAATGCAATGAAATCTGAACAGCCCCTAATGCATATGCAAGCAAATTTTCCAAGTCGACATGCCACAAATTATTATCAAAAAATGCAGCCACCATGGCAAGCTTTTAAGAGCAACAAATTATCAAATAATCAGCTAAAAAACCATGGTGATATTGAAAGGTGATGCAATAGAAAGCAATACAGTTTGAAACCATCTCCAAATGCTCCCGGACCATATAGATGACAACAGTTTAGAGGAGAAATTCTACGAGTTAGAAAGTCAATAGAGAGAGGGGGACAGTGTCTGAAACCAACTCATACAACAACTTCCACACTATTGTTATCTTGGGTAAGTATACATCACTATGGCTTTCTTTTTTTTTCCTTTTTAGGAGGATCTCTAAGGCATTATTCAAAATCAGATAATGACGGATAGTCCAGGTTCTCCAGAAGAAGAAGCATGCTTGCAATCATTCAAAGAAATTAGAATCAAAACAACTCATTAGAATAGATCTGATTTGCAAAACTTCCCTACCTGCCAACAGTGCAGATCATCACATAGAGAATGTGAGTATTTCCAAAAAATAAGGACAGTAACACTATGCCAAGATTTAAGTTTAATGCTCTAATAGATAAAATTAATGCACTCATTAACTGTTCTAGCTGATTTTAGAGAGAAAGAGAGATCATTTCTCCCATAAAAAGTACCAGATTACTTTCTCTGTTCAGCACAAAAAATTAACTTTACCAAAGAAAGAGATTGCTTCCAAACAGAAAATGATATTCTCTTGCATTTTAAAACAAGATTTAGCAAACAAGAAACCAAGCAGAAAAGGAAAGGAAAGAGTAAAGCAGAGATCAGAAATAGAGAGAAGTGAACTCATAAGCAAATTCCCCACCAAAACCCTAGCTACCAAACCAGCCACCATCCCTTCCAGAGCCAAGTGCAGGAAAAATAACCTAAAAACAACCCACAAATTCCACGAGATAAAACTTAGAAACCCCATAAAAATCTCAAAAGACGGAAGAATCTTATTACGAGACGGACCTATAAGATCAGAAAATGCGAAAGAAAAAAACAAAATCCAAAGAGATAAAGTCAATCCCAAACCGAACTAGACACCATCCCTTACAGTGACAAAAGATAGGGGAAAAATTAAAAATTTCAAAAATATGAAAACCTAAAAACTACTGTAAAAATAAAAAGTCATATAAATTTAAAAGGAAACCCATACATGTTTAATAAAAACACTTAAATCCTTTAAAAACCTACAAAATTGGAAAAGGAAATTTTGTTTCTTTATACATTGCCTTTGTAGGTTTAGTAAAAAATAATAAAATAAAATAAAAAAATACAGAAAATGGCATTTTTTAACGAAGAAAATATTGAAATTCCGAAAATTACAGAAGCAAGCTTGGCATAAGAAATCAAATCCAGACTGAATCCCCAAATCAAACAGATCCGCTCCAAAAAATCCAGCCCAAAAAAAAAGAACAGAAATTCGCCGAACATGGTGGATTAGTGAACAGGAAAAGAAGGAAGGAAAAACCGAAAAAAGAATAATACAGAGAGGGAGAGATTGTGAGAGCTTTTGGGGGCAAAGGGACTCACCCCTTGGACCCAGAGGTAGCGGCAGCAACAAGAAGGAGCGATCGCAAGTGTATCCAAGAAGAAGTAGGAGAGGAGGAGGATGATGACGATGTGGCACTAGTAGTGGTGGTGGTGGGGGATCTGCCGAGGGCTCTCATTTAACAACAAAATTACCTGCGACTGTAAATCAGGACTGCGGCCAGGGCTACCCCCGCCATGGCCGTGACAGCGACCGCTACCCCATACGACGACGATGACCACAACGCGCCGCCTCCTCCACTGCTGCCGCCCGAAGCCGATGGCTTTGCATTGGTTGCTTGAGTGGCCAAGGCTGAGACCATCGACAGCACACGAGCCGCTGCGCCTCCACCACTCGGCAGCCGCGCCTCCACCATCACACCCACCCACCCACCCACCCACCCCACGCTGCTCCTCCCTGCTCCTCCTTGCTTCTTTACTCTCTCTCTCTCTAACTACTCTCTCTCTCTCTCTCTCTCTCTCTCTAAACCGTTTGCTTTTTTTTTCTTCTTTTTCTGACTTTTTTAACTTGGGTGGATTTTCTTTATTAGTTTGCTGATGACTTCCGACTTCGAGGAACTGCCATCTTTAAGATATGCTTATAATAAAAAGCCAGTTTCATCGTTAATCAGGATATAGTGATCCTGCAGGATCACCTTTATATTTGGTCGAACGTTGAAAACATCTTATGCCCAGCCCAGGGTATATTTGGTTTATACTAGTTTTATATTTGGTCCAACGTTGAAAAGTTGTTTCGAGGGTGAAAACCTGATATCTCGACCTTGAGATATATTAAAAAAAAAAAAAAAATTTGAAGTCTTAAAAATAATACAGCTTGTAATGCATTATTTAGACTATTAATTTTCAAGATTTTTAAATATTCATAGATAAGTTTGATGTATACTATTTTTTAAGCTAAAAATTTCATTAGTAGATATAAGAATAAATTTTCAATCCATCACAAAGATTTTTCATATTGAAACAACATCTTTGAAGGTGTACCTTATTTTGATTGTTGAGAGCCTCAACCTTTTACAAACCACACCCTCTGCTTAATGTGACACTACATTAACAAGTTACATTTATTGAAATAGTGAATTATCAAAAATAACATATATTTACACAAGGCCTTGAGTTTGAACTTTATTGAATGTGTCCTTTGACAAGATTTTTAATTTATATAAAGAAATATTTAATAGGTTAAATAGTTTTATGTAATAGACTTTCCTCACAAATTTTATCGTTGCCATTGCCATCAAAGCATTTTCTCGACTAATTTAGGATTGGCTATTCTTAACAAATCATATATTAAGCAAAATTTATTTAAAAATCTTGTGGTTAAACTAAAAATGGCAAAAAGGTCTAGGCCGTGCCAGACTTAGCCTTGGCTCGGCCCTTATCCCCATAGAGCTGGCCCAGCCCATTAAGGCTAGGTGGGCTAAAAACAAATGAAGTAAAAAAAAAAAGAAAAAAAAGGTGCGGGCTGGGTTGGGCCGAACTGAGCCATCACCACACCTAGCCCACCCCTATGGTCACAGCTTAAACAAATCCCCAAAGTAGGTGTTTTAAGAAGCGAGACCAAAGTAGACTTGGATCCCGCGAGATCACGATCGTTTTCCCTGAGATTTGTTGAAGTAATTAATCGTGAGATGAACAAGTGGCAGGCCCGCTGTCCCTATCATCACCGTCGAAATTTAGAGTGACTAAAGTACCCCTCCTCTTATGTTGCATTTACAGGACCTTCACAGGATTGCCTTTAATTGAGTGCCCATAGTGACTAAAATGGCCCCGTTTGTTTAAAATAATTACATGAGAGCACCTATACCCGAGGGACCATAGTTCACCTCTGCTCCCTCGGTGAGATGACCTATCTATCAATTTTTGGTAACTATTTTAAAATCATAGATGACAACTCTTAACAAAAAACATAATAATAATCTTAAGTTTTTTAATACTTAGGTATCATCTCACCCTCCAAAAAGTAGAAGGTTTCGATTCAATGCTTACCTTATTTTTTTCAAGTGTTTAGATGGTGTAATTAAAAATAAATAAGTTTTTATTAAAGTTAATCTATGTATTAATCAGGTTATATTCACAAAAATTGGCGTGCTAATACAAACTTTCAAATTTTCCTCGAGGGAATAAATGGACAGTATACTCCAGAGAGAGCAGACCATCCTTTTGGCATATCACAAGGAAAACGCATCGTGACTGAAGTGTCACCGTTCTGTAATGACGGGGACGTGCCTGAGCCATTTTTCGAATAACGTGTACATGGCATTGCTCTTTCTTCTCGGTCAAAAAGACTGTATGGTCCCGGAGGAGCATACTATTGACTATCTCCCTTGGGTAAAGGACCATTTAAGAGTATTTATCAATTAATTTTTTGGTATATAACACCTTTTCAACCTAGCTACTAACTTCAAAAAAAAAAGAAACGCTTCATTGTGTTCTGACAAAAAAAGAAATTCAAATTTTAACAACAATCCAATATATAGAGAGCGATATTTGAGTGTTATCAAAAACTCAAAATCCAATTCTTTTCAAATAATCACCAAATGATTCTCCAGTAAATCCAAAAGTTTCACATCCCACTAGAGCATATCATGCTATTAATTGCGGAATTGAGCTTGGAAATGGTCCCGGTGTCCAGTCATTAAAAACTAGCGCTTCGGCCACAAGATGCGGCCCAATAGCCAAACCATGCTTGGGCCACAATAGAGCTGGCCCGGTTGTCCCGGCCAACCTACAAGGATTTGGACGAGGGCAAGGCTGGCTCGATTTGCAAGTGCTGGGATAGGGCCTATGCCAAACACTCTCATTGCACACCTTACTAATAAAAATAAAGATAACACTCTTTGGTGATAATAGAATCAAAACTTCATCGGGCTCGTTGATATATTGCAAAAGACTCCGGCCCATCCTCATTCTACACCCTACTAGCTATACTATATATGCCATTGAAGTGGACTACACTGATCCGACTAGAGTAGCCTTATTCTTTGTAAGACGCAACCGGTGTACCCGTGAATACTTTTTCTTTCTCTTTTTTTCTTTTTTTTTTAAACTTTACGAGCTTTTCATTGAGATAATGAAGGGAATAAGTGCAAAGATCAAAAGAAAAAATAAACAATAATACTTTTTGCTTTGCCCTAAAATTTTAGGGAGGGCACTTATGCCAGCCCTCCTACAAAAACTATTGATGATCGGGAGTCACGATTCATATAAACCCTTTTTCCTTTGGGTGAGTTGGCACACGGATGCATCCTTAGCTGTAGAGGTAAGGTGCACTTTCAAATTTTATCATGGTATATAATTTTGATGTAAAATATTTTTAGGACTATCTCAAAATCTATTTTTATATCTAATTATAAAATTTTAAATTTAAAAAATAGTTAAAATCAAGTAGATCTATAAACATATGAAAATTTTTAAAATTGACGGTGTAGATAATATTTTGTAAAATACACAATCTCTGAGACTTAAAATCTTTTTATTTTTCATGGTCATACATCTCGATGCCGAGATGATCAATCGAAAGGTTTTTCAATGTTAAAACTATCTTTTCCGATGGATTTTTGAGGTGCATCCGTAGTTCTACATTATACAGTTGCATCCTTATATAAACTTTTTCTTTTTCCTTTTCATTGCAAACGTTATAGAGCCTTTACAAAAAGTTAATTAAGCGAATGCCCACATTTATTTGTAATAATTACAATAACATACCTTCTTCTTTTTTTCCCTTTAAATGTCCAAGAGCCCTTTAGTATCTTAAAACTCGGCGGTTGTGCAGAACTAGTCGAGTCAGGTCAGAAACTAGTGAATGGGAAAATAACTTTAAATCTCTTTTTGTTTTTCAAATTTTCATTTTGGACAAACTTTCTATACTTCCTCTATTGTCTAAAACTTACCAATTAGTAACTTTAGAGTTTAAAGAGCAAAGGAACTTAATAATACAATTTTAATATGGTTATCTAATGTTAGTTGGAACTTTAAGTTATTTCTACATCCTAAAAAATTATACCTAATTATTAGAGTTTTGATCGTAAAACTTTGTTGTAAAATTTTGTAAAATAATCATAAACAAATTTTTTGATATAGAAATTTTTCCTAAAATAACTTAGATATTTATTTTCAAAAGCTCTCGTAAAGAGGAAGATGTTATTAACAAAAATTTGTAGTACTAAAAATACAACATTTATAAATATGTGATATATAAGACTAATTTTAATGGGTACAATATTTTTTATTTGAAACATTGAAATTTGATAATTTCCAAGAATAAATAAAGTTGGTTTCATAAAAAAAAAAGATAAAATTTGTTTCGCATTTTCAAAGTTTGTTTCGTATTTGTAGTGAAACGAATGTTCTTAACTTCCAACCATTGAAAAAATGCAATAAAAAATATGAATTAGTTATAGATATTTTGCGTACATAAAATTTATAGATGAAAAATTAGCAAGTTAGTTTTAGAACAATTATAAGAACCTAGTAAAATTTATAATAACAATAAATAATTTAAAAATCATGGAAAAACACTAATATTTATTAATAAAATTAAAATTTGTAATTACAAAGAGAAAAGTAACAATGATAGTTCTTACAAATTATAAAAAAAAGATTTTTTTTAAAAATAAAACTCTGCTATTATAAAGTAAAAATTAGAATGAAAATTTTTGTATTATTGTTTTATATAATTTTAATGTCTTAAAATAATATAAATTAAATAAATATTATTTAACAGTATAAAATAAAGAATTCCCTCTCTTTCTCTTCAATCCATAAAAACGTCGCTCCCACTCACCCTTACTCTTATCTTTCTCTCTCCCTCCCTAGCCCTCTAGGGCACACAACCTCTCTCTCACTCATTGCACAACAATATATGGTAATGAGGAGAAGGGAAGAAAAGAGAAAAGAAAGAAAGAAACAGAAAGAAGAAACGAGAAAAAAAAGAAAGAAACATATGATTAAATCTATGAAGCATTATGGCCTTTTTCAAGAAGAACAAAGGACAGCATTTACAACTCTCTCTCTCTAATTACTATGGAATTACTAGGGAAGCACCATGTGACACCCATGAAGCAATGATCCAAAAATGGCATAATGCCATGCCCTAAACTCTTGCACTCTCCACCTCACACATATACAATCTAGATTAAACAAAAAAAAATTCATGAAACCATGCACAATCTAGATTAAACGAAAAATAATACATGAAATCATGCAGAAGTTTAACAGTAAAACCAACAGTAAACTGGCAACAATGTGTGCAGTTGGGGTTTGTAAATCTCTCTCTCTCTCCTCTCTCTCTCTCTTGTTCATTGTTTCTATACAGTTGCTGCAGATTTCCTACTTTGTATAACCTCGACAAACCAC